AGTCACAGCAATTATACACAGCTTAACTTAATTATCATCATTTTTTTTAAAGAGAAAATGAGAGAGAGAATTTTTAACATTTATTTATTTTTTCTTAGTTCTCGGCAGACACAACATCTTCATTTGTATGTGGTGCTGAGGATGGAACCCAGGCCACATGCACGCTAGTCGAGCGCGCTACCGCTTGAGCCACATCCCCAGACCAATTATCATCATCTTAATGGCTCACTGGTGTCACCTCTCAACCACTCCTTCTGGCAAAATGCTAGGCACCATCCTCAGCTGTGGCTCTCAACACTGAGTTGGCTTTGAACCCATGATTCCCCCATCTCAGCCTCCCTAGCTGCTGGGGATTATAGGAGTGTGCCACTGTGCCCAGCAGCAGACTTTGATGTCACTTGTCATTACTTATTTCATTATCCCTCTGGCCCAATTCTTATTTGGATTACTCAAACAGTTTCCCAATTAGTAGCTCTAAAGTCTGTTTTCAACCTAGCAGCCAATGCAATCTTTTTATTTATTTATTTACTTGTTTAAATATTTTTACTTGTAAAGACAAACAATTAATTCTGTTCATTTATTATTATTTTTATATTTGATTAGTTGTTGATGAGCCTTTATTTATTTATATGTGGTGCTGAGAATCAAACCCAGTGCCTCACACATGCTAGGTAAGCACTCTGCCACTGAGCCACAACCCCAGCCCCTAGTGTGATCTTTTAAAAAATATATATAATTTTTAGTTGTAGTTGGACACAATACCTTTATTTTATTTTTATGTGGTGCTGAGGATCAAACCCTGTGCCTCACACATTCTAGGTGAGTGAACTTCCTCTGAGCCACAACCCTAGCCCGCAATGTGGTGGTGCATGCCTATAATTCTAGTGACTTGGTACACTGACGCAGGAGGATCCCAAGTTCAAGGCCAGCCTCCACAATTAAGTGAAGGCTAAGCAGTTTAGGAAGTGTGTGTGTGGGGGCTGGGGATGTGGCTCAGTGAAAAAGCATGAGGGTTTAATCCTAGTAGCAAAAGCATCACATGAGCCTGACATAGTGGCACATGCCTGTATTTGTAGTACTCCAGAGGCAGAGGATAACAAGTTGAGGACAGCACTGGGCTATTAGTAAGACCCTATCTCAAAACAATATAGCTCACTGGTGTTCAGTCCCCCTTACCACAAAACAGAACCAAAAAACCCAAACAAAACATGACAAGATAGTCACCACGTAACTTCTTTGCTTAAAACTTCTCTCACTAAAAGAGCTTCCTATTTCAGAATTGTTAAATAAAATTTATAGGAGGCCACTGGTTTGCACTAAGCCCAACAAAACAAACGAAACTAAAGTTACTCATGCTAAAAAGATCC